TTAAAAGTATTATTTGAATTTTTCTAGATCTCTGTATATTTTATTTATCAAATTTGGATTTATAAAAACAAATATATTGATTTTAGATTAATTTAAATATTCAAATTTGATTTTATGGATTTTTAAAAATCATATAGTTAATGTTAATAATTTTAATATTGCATGGGAGACCCGATATGTTAATCGGCCCACCATTGCATATGGGTGGGGCCCATGAAAAGAAAGTTTTTAAGTGTTTCGGAAAGATTTTGCCTTGAGGAAGCTTTCAAAATTTTTTTAGAAAGCATGAGTAGGATTGTGCATAATTTTGGTAAATAAATGGAATATTTTATTTCTTTTCTATTGATGGGAAAAAGGTTTAAGAATGAGGGATAAATGTTCTAGCACATTAATGGGCCCATCTATGGAATGGAGGGCTCAAATCTCTTACCTCACAAGTCACCCAAGATCAATGGTTCATATTCAATCTCAAAAGAGGAGGCAAACCCTAAGAAACTCTAATCTTGTGCAAAGCCTATAAAAATGGATTGTCTCTATCCAAAATCTCTACACCTTATCTTTCGATCTCTTTCTCTTTTTCTTTCTCTCATGAATGTCAAAAGGGGGCATACCCCACTTTCTCATCTTTGATATCTCTCTCTCTCTCTCTCTCTCTCTCTCTCTCTCATATTACGAAAGAACCTAAGGGGTTTAGGTTATTGAGTGTTGTCATCTCTCTCATAGGGTCTCTTATGATCTCTCATATTTCATTAGGGTTTTAGATTATAGGGCTGTTGTAAAAAAGAGAAGTGTTTCTCTTAAACTAGATTGCTAAGCTGATTCACCTAAGGGTTTGAGATTTATGACAAAGGAGGTCATAGTTCTACTAGAGAGTTTGGCCTAACCTTGTTTTCTCTGTTGAGATTAAAGGTTGATCATTGATCACGCACTATCGGATAGTGGTGACTCGGTGTGGGATGTAATAAGCCAGGTTGAGGTAATTTCCGACATCCTCTTTTTGTTTCTTGTCATATTTAATTATATTTTCTTTATATTCTCAAGCATAAGAATTGTGGATATTTTATTTGTTTAAAAAAAATTGGTTTAATGGCATCAAGGTTTTTAAGTTATTAGATTTGTTAATTTTATTTTCTTTGAAGCAAGAGTTATTGAAATAAGACTACTTGTAAGTGATCTTTGCTAAAAGAAAATAAAAAGAAAATAAAATGAGCGAAAAGAAGAAAAAAAAAAAATCCCCCAACAAGATCGCATTAGTCTTTCATTTATTGGTATTAGAGCTATTGATACTTGATGTCATTAGTTGTCTTTTCTTTTTATTGAGTCTAGAACAAGCTTAGGAATAATATATAAGAAAGCTAATGACATTTGTTTTAAGTAATACAATCATGGTTAAGAATTATTGGAATATTCAAAGACTGAAAATTGATACTATACAAAATTGGTATTCTGAGCTATTTTGGAGCAGTGATATGAAGAAGATACTGATGTATATTTTTATTGCATACTTTAGTAATATTGTGTGTCTTTGAAAGTAGGATCTACTTGCAAAACTTCAATGGGAGATCCAAAGGGAATTGAGAGTTATGGACTAATCGATGAAGGGTGTTAGTTCTGACCTAGTAAAATCCAAGAACTGTCCATTAAGTCCCGTGACTTTGTTTTTCCTCAAACATATAATTTTATTTCTAGATAAAATTTGACTTTAACTCATCAAATTGAATCTACTTTCAAATAAAAATAGTTTCATCAAGAAATTCCTTATGCTTTAAATGATATAGTCTATTTATTGAAAGGTGCGTAAGTGCTATTTTCTGTAACAAAAATTATTTCAATGACTTGAAGTCATGATTTTATTTTCATTAATAACAGATTGTTTTATGATCCACACTGCATTTTTAGACTTTTTTTCTGAGTCTATTTTCTAATAAAATTTATTTGAAAGAGAAATATCTTTGGAAAGAGCGAAATAAAAATTTTGGATTGAAGACATGTCATCCTAAAGTTTCTACAATATGGTATGTTTTTCATTGAGACATAAATAGCTATATTTATCAAGCCTACTTAACAAAGTAATATGAGGCCGAGGAAATATATGTGCTACCATTGTACGTCTCCATGAGAGTAGAGAGAAAAGACATTTTTGCTAGATAGTGTTCCGCTTGAAATTCCGCAGTATGATTTATTTTGTGACGTGAAAGTCAGTTATTTATTTCCTTCATGAAAAGTATGTTTTGGGATTCACACCATGATGTTATGATTTGGTTTTGAGCAATGTTCACAAAACTGGGTGGTCTGAACCTGAACCGATCGGTTAGATCGCTACCGTTGGGGTGGCGAGTCTGGTTAGGGCCGATTTCATGGTACATCTCACAAGACGGCACTCTCCAAAAAAAATCGGCCACAAAACTGGCCGGTTCAACATCAAACAGGCCGTGTTTTTATAAAACTAGCCGGTTTTCAATTTACCAGACCGGTTCGCTGATATAACGGCCTTTTTTAAAAAATAACGGTACCGTATAAATAACAACGTTATTTTGAAATAAAGACTGTTATATATAGCAAAAAATATGTGAATCCAATTTTTCACCTCTTTTTATTCGGTTTGCAGCTAATGTTTTTGTTTTTTTAGTATTTTAATGGTTTAAATCACTATATAATAATTGATATAAAACATGTAATTTGGATTTAAACATTGAAAAAAGTGGAGTTTCTTGGATTGACTAGATTCAAAGTCTATTCGAAGTATTTACTAGATTCAAGTTTTAATTTGTTCAGAAAATAAAAAATCAAGGTTTATTTTTGCCCAAAAGGCTGCTGCTCCGAGAACTTGTGTTCTACCAAGAAATGCAGATTTTTTGTCCATTTATTGGTTGATTTTTATCAAATTCAGATGTGTATTTCGATCATTGAGGCTGCATATGTCAAATAAAGTTGGTATGTTTATTTATGTTTGAGTAAATTTTTTTATATGAATTTTTTCGTTGCACTATATCATGAAATTTTCATAGATCTGAAATTTCTGCCTTGGCATCAATTAAATTAAAAATACTTAATATTGTTTTATGATTTTTGGTGAGTTTGAAAGATGATCGAAGCCTTTACAATGCATGTATGTTTATTTGTCCAATTATCTAAACATTGAGGGTAGTTTCTTTATCGAAATATTGCTTCACTTTTGGGGTTTTTGAAAAATCGATTTTTCTAAAAAAGTTATTTTTTTTAAGAAAATTATGTTTTTTGATGAAATTGGGAACTGTTTTTCTATTTTTCTTAATAAAATTATTTTTAATAGAATTATGTTTTTTTAATAAAATTAAGTTTATTGATGAATATGGGAAGTGTTTTTCTAATTTGCTTAATAAAATTATTTTTTCATTAAATTACTATACTTATTTTTTAATAAAATCAAAGCACTACACACTGATTTGGATATGGTAAATACATACAAGAACATATAAGAACAGTAGAACATATCAGTGTGTTGTGCATTGATTTTCGTTTTGTTGCATATCATGAGATGTAGTTTTTGTGAAGTATAGCTTATTTAACTTCATCGAAAAAGTATTGTATGAATTATGCTTTATCTAACTATATGACAGAGGTCAATTCTATTTCTTGTCATAATTAGTTGGAATTTTTATTTGATTTAATAGCCCCAAGCTACTTTTGTTCTTTGCAAAAGAAATGCATAAACATTCATTCCTAATGTGAGCAATTTTTGTAAAAAGAAAAGAAAACCCAAACGTTTTTCATGTAACGTTTGTGTAACGACCTACATCTTCCTTGCCAAATAGTTTGCACGGCGTGAAAAGAAGGGAAGGAAAAGGGCACGCGGCAGTGGAAGGCGCATGGCAAATTGCGCATGGCAGTGAAGAGAGAGAAGAGAAGATGAGCGTGCGGCAACAGGAAGGAGAAGCGCACGGCGATAAGAAGGATGAGCGCACGGCAATAGGAAGGAGAAGCACAGGGCGATGGTGAAGGGTGCGCGGCGATAGTCAAGAGCATTCGGCGACAGAGAGAGTGTAGGACGACATAAGAGAGCACAACAGTGCACGCACGGCAGTGAGAGCGTAACACCGCGAGTGAACGGGGGGTATCGTTGTGTGCGTAATGCCTTGTGAGCACCCTAACATCACGATATATATATATATATATAATGAAAAATTTTAAAAAAGCCTATAGGCGTAGTGCTACAGTGTTTCACGCCCATCACAAATATGTTACGTCTGTAACATTTTTGTCAAAAAACTTCTACGCACCTACGTGAGTCATGGCGGTCCCCCAATATTTTTCGCTTCAATTTTGTGTGAAAAAATCCTTGTCACGGACTTGCTATGTCCGTAACGGCCTTTAATCCACGCCGTACGAAAAAATCGGACTGCACCAAGCCTCTGGGAGAATATACTGTCTATTTTCGCCCATAGGTGTTTTGTGGTCTCTTCCATATATATATATATATATGAGTAATGTCATGCAATGGTTGTATAATAATATAATGAAACAATCCTCAAAAACCATGTTAAAACCATTTGTTTGACCCAAATTTTGAAATATAGAATATTTTTAGTATAATGAACAATCACAAAAAAATAAAAATATGAAAACATAATTTTGAATGTGTTTTTTAGGCTCTTTAACATAGGTCGTCCATTTTTGTGTGATACTTAGATCTAGGCCCTAGAAGGATCTTTTTGCTTCGAATTTTTTTGGATAACTTTATTATCATTAGATTAACAATGTTAAAAAAGAAAAAATCGATTTTAATTCATAAAGGCCTAAATATTGATATTCACCAAATGGATTGTCTAGATTCATTGTTGGATGGGCCTCATTTTTACTATATATAGGGTGTAATTTTTTTTTATTTTTTTTTTAAGAATAATTAGTAAGATGAATAGAGGATATGCGCAATTTTTGAGGTCATACAAATGACACAAACATGAATTTCTAGTAGTGCGGTTTCATTATAATCATGGTGACAAGATATCATTATACTTTTTCGCTCAAACCCTCAAAAAACAGCCTTCCAAAAAACGAGGGAATTTTGAATTTTGGCCCACCGACTCTATCCCCTCTTTGGCATGCCTCTGCTCTCTCTCCCCCCTTGCCTACTCCATTCTCTCTCCCTCTAACTCTTATGCCTTGCCCTGCATCATACTCTCTCTCTCCTAAGAAACGCAGGAAGAAATGCTGGCAACAATCCCATACTCTCTCTCTTGTGTCACTATTCTCTCACGCCTTGCCCTCCCTCTCTCTCAAGACCTCTATTGGGGATGTACCGGTAATGATGGAAGGCACCTGTTTTTTTGGTTGAAGATTGAATGGAGGATTGCTTCTTTGAGAGTCCATTATTTCATTCAAGTTCAAAGCTTCTCTCAAAATCTGAATTTTGAAGATGGAGGTCTCCTGCAGTTGTTGGTTTTCTTAATTTTCACAAGATAAGGAGGTGTGAGTAGAAGATCTGATGCTAAAATGAGAGATGGTCATGATAGGTGATGAAACCCCCGGTTATTATATGAACATTTTGGATCTTTTGAAAAAGCAAATTTTGTTTTTGGGCAGCTATTTCTCTTGCAATAGAACCCTATAGAACCACTGACTTTTTCATTAGAAACACTTTTGCTGCATTGTACCCACTCCAATTATTAACTTGTTTGTAAAGCTTGGTGAGAAACAATACATCTTCAAAGTGTCCAATAAAATTCTTAATAGAGCACTAACGGAGAAGTCACTGGTATTAAAAAAAATTAAAAATAAAATATTTATGTTGATTAATGGTAATAATAGAGCAGCTCTGTTTTGGCCCAATTATGCTTCTTACAATGCGTAGTAGCATAGTAATAATAGATCAGCTCTGTTTTTTGCCCATTTCTTTCGACGAATTGTGAAGGATTAACATAGTATTAATAGAGCAGCTCTGTTTTGGCAATATATGCTTCTTACAATCCTCAAAAATTTTGTGGCCTTGTATTGTATTTTTGCTTGTTCTCAAAATTCCTCTTATGTGCGGTTGTTACACCCTCAAACATGGATTTTTTATTTTTTTCGAAAAGAAAGAACTTGGACATGCATGTCAATGTCATTCTAATGTGGTTTTCGGTTGAGGAGCTAAGTATTATTTTATCTCTAATGTGGTATATATGAGTATATGATTAGTGATGTGTTATTTGCTTGTTATGGTTACTAACTCTTTTGATTTGTGGTTTACTGATATATGTATTACATACGAGTTGCTGAATAAAGCAAGCTAATAATCCCTCTTTCTCGACCCTCTCTCTAGGGCATATTGTTCATCTCAAATATGAATTTACAAGCCCACTAAAATATGCACTTGATGACCGTTTCTTTTTTTTCACTTTTGTTTATCTATTTATTGATTGATTTTTTGGTGTCGGGTTCTCTCTTCATTTTGATTTTTATTGTATTTGTGTTTGTTTAGGCAACTCCAATGCTAAAAACCCAAGCGTCAGATATAAAATGGAATTATCTCATTCTATATATAATTTAAAAAATCCCCCCCAAAAATATGAATTCAAATTAGAATCATTGAATTTAGTTTTTGATTCATTGTAGCTACTGCAATTATTGACTTGTTTGTAAATCTTGTTGAGATCCAACACATTTGAAAAGTATTCAACAAAATTCCTAATAGAGGCACTAACGAGGAAGCCACCTCAAGATTGTTACCGAGCGGGATTTTATGTTGACCCTAAATTATCAAGAAAAATAGTAAAAATATCCTAATGATTTTCATGCATTGCATCCCCATTGCCAAAGTAGTCTTATGCATTTTTCTTTTATTTAAGATTTTTCTATGTATACGTAGGCGTCTGTTATAATACTAAATGCAATGCATTTTTTAATTATTTTACATTCTTTTACATTTTTGTTTTCATGATATATAGGGCCTGTTATGATACCATAGGTAATGCATCTTGAAAGGAGTTATGATACCATATGATACCATAGGTAATGCATATAGGGCCTGTTATGATACCATATGATACCATAGGTAATGCATTTGGGGAAGCAATGTTTGATCAACCCAATTTATCTGATGTTTCTTATTAGGTACAAGGGGCTGTTTCTTATCAGGTACATGGGACTATATCATTTCCAAGTCAATGTGCATATGTGGTGCTGCGAATGTCATGGCAGATGATCTACTCCCTAATAAGACTCTTACGGATACCATCAATCGCTTTCTGGAGTCGAACACGAGCAGTGCAGAAAATGGTGGAAGCTGGGTACCAGTTCAAGGTATGTGTGCTGATCATTTGGGATCTTTTTTTTGTTTTTTTCGAAAGGAAAGAACTTGGACATGCATGTCAATGTCATTCTAATGTGGTTTTTGGATGAGGGGCCGTCGAATTATTATTTTATCTCTGATGTGGTTGTGCACATCGGTTTTCTCGACAATGTGAGATCATGTTTTTATTCGTCTACTTTAACAATGTATATTTGTTATAGAAATTGTGAGGAACTAGTAAGAATGTACATATTCTACAATGTGGTATACTTCCGTATTGCAATAACATCTTTATCTAATAACATAGGATAGGTTTGACATGCCCACGATGTTCAACAGCAAAGGAGCCATAGAATAATTGCCGTAAGAGTGTGATGATAAAGATCCTAGAGTTACAAAATAATTTATGCAAAATAATGAAAAATACATAATGCACCACTCCCATGTTTTGAAAACTCGAAAAACAAAATTTATAGGGATTGTTACTGATTCCTAAAGAATTTTATGGCCGAATCTGATCAATCCAACCAATTCTTCAATCTTGACTGTTTTTCTACCCATTCCACCTAATTTTTTGGATGGACAATCTAGGTCATCGGTTTGTTTTTTAAAAGCTTGGGATGGAGAACATTGTGGGGCCCTATGAGAAAGAGGAGACTGCTAGTTGTATCTTATAAGGACTGGGCCCTTGCCTAGGCATGTCAAGACACAATATAATGTCTAGGGTTCTATTTCTACTATGTTAAGATGTCAAAAGCAGAAAAAGAAGTGGGTGTATCATATAACAAGGAAACTATTGTGAATGCATATTTGGAGTCAAGAGAGACCTTGGGTTTTGGGGCGATCCAATTCCGTGGAGCCAGGAATCACTGAACAAGCATCGGCTAAACTTTCTATTTTAAATTTTTTATTTTTTCTAATTATATAGTATAACATATCCAAACCCAAGATATTTAAAATATTGTGTGTGTCTGGTTCTCCTTGATTTTAAATTGAGATTTTATGTATACTTGTGCATTAATTACTAGATCACAAGCTTTAATTACTAGATCACACTTCACTAAATTTTGTTGATTATGTGGCCTTTAAAGTTCTTAAAGTCAATAATCTTATGCTCAGTGGGAGTTAGAGAGAGACTGAATCTGGGTGCTTTACGCACTAGGGCCCAGATTTATATACCCCAAGCATTTGAGATACTGAGAGTATACGTTTTGAGAGTGTGAACGCTCAGGGAGGTATGAGGGTTACCTCCCAATCATGACTATATTAATTAGAATGGCTCATAGTAGATGTGATAAGCCACGGCTTGGAAAATCTAATCGAGAATAATAGAACCTAAGTATTTAAAAAAGTATTCCCCCTGTATGGAATTGTCGGCTCATGGGACATGAGCTTGTATCCTGACAAGAGACTGTTCCAAGGCATGTGCACCCACAGTCATATGTGGAAGCCACTCTTCTATAGTATTATCCGACTTAAAGAACTAGTGCACATGAGCTTTGAGAGGACCCCTGTATTTGAGTATGAACATGTCATACAGGGGTGCACCAGTAATCCACTGAACCCCCGGTGACGGGAAGCTCTGATTCAACTATTTTAATGTGACCAATTATGTGTTCCTGCCATAGGCTATAGAGCATAGGTCCATTGGGTCGGCTTAATACACTGGTGGAATGTCATTCAGGTTAGCCTAATGGAAGACTTCGACAAGTGTTACAAGTCTAGAGGTCTTATTTACCTTTGGCCCATATTAATCTAAAATTAATGAGAAATGATTTTATACGGATGAAAAATTACGTAATAATGTCAAGAAATCATTTAGAGAATTTTTGAGATTTTTGAAGAATTTTTCAGATTTTTTTAAACAATAAAAAATGAGATTTTGCAAATTTGTTTGACATAACTACCTAAAAAGGACATCCTATGGGGATGCCACATGGATCCCAAGCGGCCATAGGGATTCCATGTGACACCCCCACCTCCCCACTTGTAGATGACATCATATTGACATCATATCCATGTGGGGATCTATTTATCATTAATTCGTTTTTTGGTATTATGTTATAACATGTTATCTTGCTATTTAAAGTGTAATATATTGTTATGACTTAAGTTTTCTTTAAGTCATGTTTTTTTTTTTGCTCAGATGTGTCATTTTTGCATGTGTGAAGTTATGGGATTTTAAGAATTAATTTAATTCATATTATTATCTACATATGATTTTGTAGCATGTGGGAATATCTTATGTGGCGCCACCTTATGGGCTTGACCTATGTGAAACTTTAGAGTTGTTAAAATCCTATTGGTGGTACCATAATATATTTTATTCACATGTGTGGATGTCCCATATTACCTTTATGTCTATGTCCTTATATTTTATTGACTCTCACAAACTCGTCAAAAACCATAAGTGTCAACATGAATTTGGACTTAATGAGAAATAAAACATGAAGCTAAAGGCTTCAAAGTAAAATAAATATAAACCTATGTTTTAAGGAGTGAAGGGTGTTAAAAGCTCATCCATTGATCTTGGTGGTAAGATATAGATGAGTGACTTGGATAAAAGACTCTCAAGTGCCATTGATATAAAGGCATCAAGGATCAAGATCAAATCTATCTTTATGATCTAAGTATAAAAGTAACTTGTGGGATCAAATATAACCCTAGCTTGAGTATTTACTTTAAAGAGTGATAGAGAGAGCTATTGGCAATTAAATGTGGCCACCCATGAGACTATCTTCTTCCTTGAGATTTCATTTTTGAAACCCTTCCATGAAGTAGCCATTCATTTATGTGATCAAGCACTTACTATTGCTTCATTAAGGTATTGATTTTTCTTCTCATATTTTTAAATCCTACCTCATTTCCATTATCAAGGCTTGTTGTAATTCTTGATTTATAGTAGTTTTCTTCACTTTTGGTCATGTATACTTGATATTTGAAGAGTCCCAAAGCAATAGTGCAGTCCATACATGTAGAATGTGTAGACTAGCTTGTTTACTCCATAATCTTGAATAGTTTCAACTTGATTTTCTTGATCTTATTTTTCTGAAATTTTTACTGAGAATATACAACTGATGAGATATTTATTTCTTTTTTGAATGGTGTAGTTTCACTATAACTTCCTTATTTTATGTACTATATTTCACAAACTTTGAAGTGCTATTTTGATACATATCTCTCTCATAATTTGATCCCCATTAAGTTAATAAAAGTGATCATTTGCATCCTATTGGATTGATTTCCTTGAGTTATTATCTTCACCCATGCCTTAGGTAATAGGACAAAATTAAGTCTTCAAAGGGCTATTTTGTGGCCCGTGCATTCAGGGTTCAAACCATGGTTTTACCATGTATGTTTGCATGTTAATTTGATGTATTTATAGTTATTAAATGGATTCATGATTGGTTAAATTAAGTACGTTGTGCGTATATTGAGATTGATCTTTAATCTTGCGGTATGAAGTTTAATGCTATGCATTATTGTTTATGCGGATTGAAATTTTATCGAATTATTATGATCTAGTGTATGATGTGTATGAGATATTGTGATATATGATGAAGATGAAGAACGAAAATGAAAATGAAATTATAATGTAATTTTGATACAATGAGGAATTGCAAGCGCAAGTTATGCAATATGTTATAGAGGTGTACATTGTGAATATTTTAATATTGTATTGAGCTGTTTGTATTTTTGAGTAAGGGATTTGTAAGGGACCTATTAAGGTTGCATTTTTTCATTCAAGTATATATAAACCACGTTTGTAGGATGGAATATATGTGTTATGGTTTTGTATTACGATACTCATGCATTTAAACCCTTGAATTTTTTTACAATGGAAATTTTTCAAAATGATTGCATTTCTAGCCCATTGGTCTTATACCACCAACAAATTGTATCAGAGCAGGGCTCTAATATGATCCCTTAATCCTCCTATATTGTGTATAATTTAATTTTCAAATTGCATAAACACTTGATTATGATTGTCATGATGTATATGCTTTGAATTTAAGAATTGATAGTGTCATTGGCATGGGAACTGTGAATGAATATTTTTCAGAACTGTTGTATATTTGTGAGAGAATGGTAGGGCATTCAGTACTTCATGTAATAGAATAATATTTGGTAGTATTTTGTCTTATTGAGTGTATTTGCATATGGAAAAAGTCTCATGACAATATTGTGTATATTTTGGAAGTTATTATTCGTTTATTAAAGTGTGTCAGATCTGAGAAACACATTTCTAAGAACTTTATACCTTTTTCTTTGGGGGTTTTGATCAATCAAAACTTATGGAAAAGTGTTAAGACAACTTTGTTCTTTTGAGGAATGGAGTCTAGTTTAAATATACTTTTGGGCTCATTAAATAATTCCCCATAGTTAGAAAATTATGGTTGTTTTACTTGAGGGGTATCGAACTATAATTTCTGCTACACAAAGCAAAAATTGACCCTATGAGAATCATGTTGTTTGATCCACTTTGGGCCATTATTCAATACTACTTTCTAAATGAAAGTTGTTTAATTTTGAGTTTATTCTATTTGAAAATAAGTCTCATGATTAAATGATGTGTAAATTTAAAGTTATGTCCATTGAATTGGACCTTACTCATCTTAAAAAACCAGAAAAACATTATTTCTTATATCCAATGTGTGAGAAGGGCATTGGTACTTTATATTTTTGTAATCCCACTATGATGTATAAGTTGTTTAAAGTCTTTATGAGTTCTTAGGGCATTTTAGATCAGTGGGAGGGTTATATAAACCCCACTGAATCGTGAGTGTTAAGTTTTAATACCCGATACCCGAGTCTTGGTCTACATCCGGGCTAGTCTAGGATAGTGTGTGATGAAATTGACAACAAGACTAAAGACACATATGGATGGATGAGACAATGATCATAAAGAGAGAATAAGGGGTGAAACCAAATCACAGATAGAAGACAAAGGTATTGGCACATTATTACTTGGTCACTTTAAAACCATAAGGTACGACTTCTTTCTACTTAT